TTCTTCCGTCTACAATTCTTCTTTCAGGATAGTTTTCTACTTCTACTACAATCAACTTCTATCTATCAGATAACGTCCACTCATGTCCACTCATGGCCACTTACTATGACTAATTACCCAGTATAGTTTTCTCTACAATTTTTCTTTCAAGATAGTTTTTTACTTCTCCCGCCTTTTACTCTAGTAATATTAATGATAAGTTAATAAATGGACCACCTATAGTAGTTACAATAGTTTACTATCTTTTAGATATAGTGGTTCTCAACCGGTGGTCCACTGATCACAGGTGGTAAACAAAAACTAAAATACGGTCCGAGAGGCTTATTTATAATTGTGTTCCATCTTTTTTACATTGTAATTTACTCTAAGTTTAAGTAATGTGTTTAAAAGTTTCGATTAAAGTTTATTTTCAAATTAATAGAATTATTTTTGAATCTTGCGTTTCCTGCCATGGATGAAAAAGCCAAAGTGGCCATTGGTCAAGGAAAGGTCAGGAGCCACTAACTATCTAAGTTGAATCGTTCAAAATCATCGCTTAATCTATATTAAATATGTAATCCATGCACTATCATAACTTTTAAAATCATATCGACATTCCTATTTATGCATATGTAAATGATAGTAGCACGTTTCCGCTCGATGCTTTCCGGAAGACGCATTTTCCGGAGGGAGACCCAAACAGTATAGAGACAAGAATCAATGCTAATTGTTTTATCAGTTATTCAATTCGCACATTATATTTATTAATCATATCAAAATACAAAAATATCCCGCCATTCCCCAACAGAAATACCCAAATACCATCATGAGAAATATTGGAGTGATAATTTAGATGAATGATAATTAGCAAGTTAATAAAACTGAAGAAGTTCATCACTTTCCAATTTTCGAATTTAGAAATTAGATTTGTAATTTCAGTTTAAAATTTGAAAATTTTATCAAACACCGCTTGTCAAACACCATCTGTCTGTAAAACACATTCACTGTTACGGTGACCTCCTATGGTTCATTACTAAAACCGGTGACCTCATATGGTTCACTACCAAAACCGGTGACCTCATATGTTTCACTGCCAAACCAGTGACCTCATATGCTTCACACCAAAACCGGTGACCTTATATGGTTCACTATCAAAAACCGAGAAAGTTCCATTATTACAGGAGAAATTAAACAACAAAAATAATTTCGATTTCAAACTGTTTTACATTTTCCCCATATAACCAGTTACAGTAATAATTATCAAAGTACTGCTTTATGAGTTATCATAGTTATCTTTAAAAAAACTAATGCAAAGGGAACTGAATTAAGATGTAAGAAGAATGTCACATGTCGTAAGGAAACTGAGATAAGACGTAAGAAGGATGTCACATGTCGTTTTGATCTAACTGACTATGGAAACCTTTTTTTTACAGGAAATGAATCAATATTGTATAAAATGTCAATTTGAAATTGATGAAAGACTAACAATAAGCGCTATTGTCAATTTGAAATTGATGAAAGTACTAACAATAAGCGAACTATTGTCAATTTGAATTGAT